ATGTATATATATTTAAGACTTTTCACATTTTAAACCTGCAGAAACCTCCTGTAAATAATATCTGAAAGCATCTGAAAGTTTTGAAGGTTGCAAAATGTGACAAACTTACGTGTTTCGATTCAACCGTCTCTGCGTCAAACACAAAAGCAGAATAATTAAAATCACTGAGTCATTCTGAAATGAAACAGCATTAAAAAGATTTATTTAAAGTGATCGTGAATAATGTGTGAACCTTGACAGGCGAATGTGTCGGACTGCGGGACGAGTCCGAGTCGCTGGTAAAAACAATCAGTCTGGCTGCCATAGAACCGTCTGTGAGGTAGAAAGACGTTTCAGCTGTGATGTTAAAAACTGAAACACCTTCAAACTGAAAAAGTGAGACGCTCCGAGCAGAACTCACCATTACCGTTCCTCTTATATGACGAAGGAGCGTGTTTGTCACAGGAGCACCTGAAAACACACAGGCTCGGTTTTCACAACATGATCGGATAAGAGCAGATAAAAACAACTTATTAAGGAACATGTTCAACGAACATACTCACATGACAATGGCATTAGACAAACTATCCGGACCGAGGTTTCCTTCTTTCTTCTCACAGGTGAGACAGTGAACCTTGATGACAATAAACAGAAACAAAATCTGACTCCATCTGTGATGTGATGGGACATTTTTTTAATATTTCAAGTCAATAGGACATAAACCCTCCTGCTAAGGTTAATTCATTCACAAGGACACAAAATGTGTATTAATCCACTCATGAAAATAGTCCCCAACAAATGTACTGATTCCTCCTACTTGCATGAAATCTTCTTTTACTGGAAGTTTTTGAACATTTCTTTTTTTTTTGTATTTGTGTTTTCTGTCAAGGTATCAGATCAGTTACTCTGTCAATCAAACCTTAGTTGATCCAGCTCCACTGTGATTGTTGGAGGTTCCAGGTTCTGATGGATCAGAGTTGAGCCTGTTTACCACACCATTGCTTTGTGTGTCTGGGGAAAAGAAAAACACTCGT